TTAGTTATATATATATAATTATTATATATATATATATATATATATATATATATATATATTTATTTATTTATTTATTTATTTATTTATTTATTTATTTGTTTGTTTGTTTATTTATTTATTTATTTATCTATTTATATACATGATTCCTAGTAAAAAACAAATATTTTAAAAACAAGCAACCATCTGGTACGGTACATATATAGGCCTGAAATGGTCCCACACTGAACTAAAAAAGCATTGAGACCTCCAGAAAGAGATACAATTTTCGAGAAGTTCAACGAGTTTTTGGCAATGTTATCGATTAAGCGGAATAAATGAATGAGATCAAATCCAGATAATTAGAAAAGATTTGAATTTAACTTCCTGCATTTGCAATAACTAAATATTTTTTTTATTTTTTTAGAGACCACAATTTGATGACTTTATTGATTTAAATGTAAAATTTAAATTTAAATTTCACATCCTTATTGATTTAAACTCGATTATCGGATTGCACTTAATCGTCATTAGACTTCCGTCAAATCAGTTTTCAATTTTTGTTCATCCATTCGATGCTTTTCACAAATTACGCGAACATTACCATTTGACCTTCTAAACTGTGTCTAATGAGTCGAAAAAGTTTATTAATACTATAGTGAAATTCGAATTTTCTGCCTTTGAACTATAAGTAAAAAGTAAAATTTCATGGACTTCTGTAGAAGAAGCCCTCTTATTTTTCGAAAAAATAATAATTTAATCCAAATTCATAATGTAATGCTGTGTTGAGATTTTCCCACCACTCTTCTTTTTTTTTTGTTTTGATTAAGTGTCCTAAATAATTCTTTATTTCTATCTGAAGCTATTTGAAATTGACTTATTTATGCTACACAAACATGAGAACTCACTCGCAATCTCGAGGTAATAAGCAAGATCAGAAGTATAAATGTTCCATGGAAAAAGACGGTAAAAAGCAGGATTAAGAATGATTAAGCTGCTTATCGATTTTCTTTAAATTATAGTTTTTATGATTAAAACACCAAATTTCGCTACTTAAATTAAATTTTAACTTTATTTTGTTTTGCCAAAATTACATTTAACTTCTTAGCACCCTATCAAGAAGATGGATTTTAAATAAGCTGATATTAGGTGATAAAGATAAATAAATCATTTATATCTGTTTACCAAATTAAGGAAGCAAAAAAAGTTAATACGTCCGAAATGAATTATAAACAATTAACATACTTTCAAATAATACTATCGAGGAATTGTGTAAACATTTATTAATTTGATACAAAATATTAGTTAAAATGGAACACTTTTATAAAGATTAAATTTCGAAAAAAACTTAATTTCTCTATTAATTTTTGTATGAAGTTTGCAGAACTGAAGTATTAATGCTTCATAAATTTTGAATGCATCAAATTTCTGCTTCAATAAAAATGCCATACTTTGTGGTAGTGGGAAAAACTTTCTAGCTAGCATAATGTGTTAGACTTTGGCCAATAAAGAAATGGATCAAATCAACTTCACTGTGTTCGTTAAGATGACATATTGAATTTTGAGGAATTTTTGCACTTAACTTAATCAATCTTTCTTTTATACCACCTAAAGTTAAAATATATCATAAAACATAGCATAAAATCTTAAGTTATCGAACGTATCATCAACCACTATCACAAAAATAAGTCTTATCAACTAATACTCTTATTTAACTCAAAAATTTCGATTTGTAATTCTACAGAACGTATACACAGTAATGCAAGTATCCTTAAGCGATTGCTTTACAAACTTGGTCATGGCATCAATTCCGACAAAAAAAAAAAATGTCTCCTCGTGATACCATCCAGAAAATCAATAAATACTGTCTTTAGATGAATCAAGTAAAAAGGCAAAAATCAGCTTGTAATGTCAATTATCCTCAACTTGATCTTTCATCTTTTTAAAACTTTAAATTTGCCAAAGATACCACCAGTTGGGCTGAAGAAGAAAGATCACTCTATTTGAGCATCATATGTCGAATGTAGTGTTAGCAGAAGGAATGGTATATAACTGATTTGGACAATATGAAAAAGTGGATGAATAACATTAAGCAACAATCGAAATTGTAATCTTCACCTTTTCCTAAATCCATTTCATCGTTTTCAACAAATACTCTTTGAACATATTCTTGAAATTTTGTACTATTATTTACTGTACAATAAGTAAAGGTTTAAGCTTATAATGGTAAGTTTTCTTTGAGAGTTTCGGACTAATTGTAACAGTTAATATTATGTTATTAGAAACATTATAGAACAAAAACTCATTTTAGGATTATCAAGTTTCTATTGCAGGTCAGATCATGTCAACATATTGTTTACAATTAATGCACGATAACTTTCTATTTGAGATACGTGGACTATAATTGTTTGTGTAAAAGGAAGTAAACATTTTGAAGTACCTTATCTTCGCTTTAGCTTTTACTTTCCCTATTCATTAATTTTTTTATATTTAAAAAATCGGTATTATTTCTTGACCTCACTTTACTCTTTAATTTGGCCATTTATTTGTTTCTTTTTTTTTAAATTTTCTTATTTGTTTGCTTTCTCCTCCAGTTGTTTTTATGTTAATTAACCATATACTATTTCCCTTTCTTTTACTGTAGTAGAACAAAATATCATGTCCACACTTTTACGAAACGTCGCGAATAACATTTAATTTTATTGGCATAATATTTCATGATTTTTAAGAGTAACAAATTATAAATTATTTTACGAAAGAAAAGGAAATAGTATGAAGAATAATTGCGGGAAGTATTGATATCGTTCTTTGTCACACATACTCATTCAACTGATTTAATTCTTTGGTTATTCTAAATGATCATGCAAAATATCTTTTGTATTTAGATTTTTTTGGAAAAGAAAAAGGTTCCTATCACGAAAAAAAGTAGTAATAATAATTTTAGAGATTTTACTTCTATAAAATGAAATTTAGCAACGATATTTAAAGACTTCTCTAAAATTATAATAATAATAATAATTTTTTACAATCAAATTCCGACAAAATACATCAAAATTTATTGTAAAAACACTAATTTCATTCTTTTATTTGAAAGTTTGAGGACAATAGCAATTAAATGAATTAGGCTATATTGTTAGAGTATTTCACTTTCAAATTTAGTAAGATTTATTACTAATCCTTGTATGATTTAGCTCTTATGTTTTGCAAATTCTAATAATTAACGATGGCAACCAATTTTATACGAATGATTTGAAATATAATAGAGACTGTTGCAAGTTGCAGAAACAGAAAATGTGAACTTTTTGCAAATTACACTGGACATATTGAGATGACAGGTGACCAAATATGTATTTTGTTTTAGCAGAAGCAAAAGCTTACTGATATAAAGTTATTGAAAAAAAAATTTTTTTTTTTTAACTAGAAAGAGAGATCAATCAATCAAAGCATGTATTTATCATGCTAACAATATCTGGCAAACAGACGCAAATTTTTATAAACGATGAATGATTTACCCACTTCCATTTCAATTTATTTAGCAGTTCATTCATTTGATTGATTTGCATAGCTCTTTTCTTGTTTTATTGGCAATAACCAAACCTCATAACTTACGACTGCTACAACTCAGAAAATCTGACCTATGACCTCAATGACTTGACTCTCTGTTAGGTTATAGATAGACAACAGTTCCAGTGTATCCACAAAAGTGATACATAAGCAATCACTTATAATGAATGGCAAGAATGCATGCTGATTGTTTTTATGGGATAATGCTTTCCAAACTATAGTTAGCGAACCACAGATAGTCTGCACGAACTAAAATATGATCCGTTAAAGACAGCAGCGCGATGAGTAAGAAACAGGCGGAGATTGTATTTATCAGTGTTTGGTAAACTGATAAGTTAAAAGTTTTGATTAAAGTTTCTCTTCAAGTTGAAAAAATTCATTACTTTTGAATTTTATGGTCCTTACTATAAGCCAAAAAATTAGAATGGTCTTTCATCAAGAAAAATTTGGATGCCAACGCATTAGAACAAGCAGTGAAGAAATAAAACTTGGCCATTTAACAGTAAATACCGAACACTTGTCATTCCTTCTCTCTTTGTTCATTTTTTATCAAGCAAGAAGGGTAAAATTAAAGTGATGAAGCAGTTGAAACGATATTCTTTTTCACTTGTACAGTCGCTAGATTGATAACTGCTATATGAACAAGTATGCTTCTCGAAAGCTTTGAAAAATTAAATAATATGTTGATTGATAGACAAACAAACTAAGACTATTACTAGTTCAACAAAGTGAACAGGTTTCAAGACTATCAATCTGAATTGTTTCGTTATTTCAGCAGTTCGTTTTAGATCAATTGCATTCATAATCATGAAATCCATTATTTTAAATGAATCAGATCAGTTCACACGAATACTTTTGTAATATTTAATGCATATTTTTGGTTTTACAAAGCAGCGTTATAATTTCTTCCATTAATTTCTAAAATGAAGAAAAAAATGTATCAAATTTAGTGATGATAACCATAAAGCAATAAGACTGCTGCTCGGAAAAATTTTGTGGTAAGGCTGCTTTCCGGAAAAATAGATGACACATGAAAATTTTGAAGCGTATGCATAAATTTGCATCTGTATAAAGTTCCAATTCATTCAATTAAGATTTTGGTGAATGTAAGATTTCGTCCTGAATGATTCTTTAGATATCAGTTCACAAGCCTTCTTAGTTGTAGTATTGCCAAGGATTGTGGATATCGTCGAATTAAGATGATTCCTAATTAGCTTGGATAAGGGTGTAGTTGAGAGGTCCGTAAAAAAAGCCAATGAGTGAATGGTCGAAACGACAGCTAGGTATATTAAAAAATTTGTTGCGAAACTTAAAACTAGAGATTTCATATCTTTTGTACTATCACCAGCTGTAAAATTCTGTTTTATATACTAATTTACTTCGGTAGAAGTGTGGAATGATTGTTGGAAACAATTAATTATCTCCTGCAAACTGAATGATGCAATATTTCTGTAGTGGATGAACCACAGTATTGTTTAGTACTATCATCAATTATAACTTCATTCTAGGAATGTTATCAGTGATATGACAAGTCTGTTTGTAACATTTCAAATTTTTCTCCACAAAGTTTGTAGTAATATTAGAAATTCCTTGGCTAGTTGAAGCAATAAAATAACCAAGTTTCTAATAGTCATAAAGAGATATTAAGTATTTAATTAACACTTGGAGTGATGAAAAAAAAAAGAAAAGACAGAAACTTACCCATTTTTTCTGGAACATTTATCAATTGAGGATTTATTATTTTGTTCAACTGTTTCCTATTGAAAGAATTAAATATTGTTAAAGTTGTCATATGTAAAGATATGGTTAACTATTGGCAGTTATTTTTTTCATTTTTTTTTTTTGGTAAAGGAAAGGATCAAAGAAACCAGAAAAAGAGCCAAAACTTTTCCAGAATCAAGAATACGAGAATTTAGTCGTATTCAGGAAAAGCTAAGAATATAAAAATTTTTCCTGTATAAGTTCAAACGAGACAACAATTTTGCATTAGCTTTTATCAACATTCAAACATTCAGTGATTAATCAATGTTGTCTACAATTAAGCAAATGTATTGTCCATTTTTATCTCGTACTTTTTGTAACATTCATTTATTTTTTAATTTCATTTCAGTTTATTAGTATTGTTGGCATTGTCGTTCTATTTTTCATTTCATTTTAATGAATATTCATTTTTTTTTTCTCTCTCTGTTAACTATATATTGTTTCAAAGAATCTGAGTAGGGAGATATGAATTAAATCATTTTACAGTGCCAATTAAAACTTGCCGATGAATTTTATTTTCACTTTTTTCTTTTCTGTAGCAGCAATTAATGAATTTTTACTAACCTTTTTTATTCTAGTTTTTCACTTTATGAATTTTATCTTATAAAGTTTTAATTAAATTTCAGTAAATTTTGACGAATCAAATTAGCCGGAGAGAACTATTCTTCGGCATTCTGATGCTGGAGACTTCGTGTCTCGGTGATAAGCAACTTTTACTAACAAATAGCAATTTGGATAATTTCTTGCAACATTATGTATTCCCCGTACAATTTATATTTGGTGTTGCTGGCAATTCCATCAATCTCATCGTACTACTTAGCAAAGGAATGCGTTCAAAGGTTTTATTTATTCCATTATCTTTTTTTTTCTTTAATTTATTGTCATAATAATTGTACGAATTATAACAATTCTATAATCATATCTTTATCGATTTTTTAGTCATATCGTTATCAATTTTTCAATACTTGACATGAATGCAAAAGATACATGTCCATTTCATTTTCATTTCAAATATGCAACAATATTTTTTAGACAAATTCATTATTGTCAGCAATGGCATTTGCTGATTTAGCCCTGTTATTTTGCATGTTACCGCATTCATTGGCCTCATTTGAAATCGCATATCATAGCTATACATTTCGCTATTTTTACTATGTTAGCAAACGTCAATTAAATGCATTCGCAAATTTCTTCTCCACAGCGGCAACTTGGTTTATCCTTTTTTAAATTATTTTTCACCTTTTCTTCTTCTGTTCTTTTTTTTTATTGAATTCTATGAACTATTGAAGTTAAAAATATGCAAAATAAGTGGAAGTTACTGTTATGTAACTTCTAATTTTATTTATCCATACAAATATTTTTTACCTATAGATTGTTTGGGAAACAATTAAGTTCCTTCTTTCTATCCAAATTAATGCTTGCTTGATCTGTCTCAATAAGTTATCTAATTGTACAAAGAACAAAGACTGAATTAATAACTAAAATAACTCGATATAATATATTTATCAATAATGTTTGTTTTTGTTCTTATTTGTTTACAATTTAATTTATGCTCTTATATATATATGTATTAATAGAGTAATGCTTTAACCTTGATAATATTATCAGCATTCGGTTCTTAGGTTAGTGCTTACGGTATCCATGGAACGATTTATTGGTATTCGATCACCGGTTCACGCTCATTTCAAGTGGAAAGAAAAGGGTGTCCTGCTGATTATTGTATCAATATTTATTGGCGCATTTGTGATCACATTTTATCATCATATTGCTTACAAATACAGCATATATACTGTATGCAATGGTACTCAACTAAAGGGTAACGTTAGGCCGGTTTGTTTCTCTCTCATTTTATTCATTTTTGTTTCTTAATTAATTAACTGACAGCTGATAAATTATATTGGATTTGGAAATAAAATATTTCGACCGTTTCTCAATTACATTCATTGCCGCATGTCTCCCATTGACAACTGATAGCGGGTGTTACACATTGAAATGACCACTGACATTATGATATCAATAGGACTACTTCGTCGAGTCATCCAATAAGGATATTAAAGTATTTGAGATTAAAGTTACGATGCAATTGTTAAAAAGTTCACTTGCTTGCAGTGTCTTTCATCTATTATGAACATTTTTAAAGTATCACTTGAAATTATTAAAAATCCTTGTCCCAAAAGAAAAGAAATATATACAATGCTAGAAGATTCTAAAATAAATTCGATTGAAGTAGTAAATTTTTGTCAAATCTAAAACTTACTAAGACAAAGAAATATGATGTAAATTGCAGATAGATTATAATTGGACTGGAAATAAGTTATATGGTAATGCGCTGACAAAGTACATTCATTATGGGAAGTATTTACAACTGATAACAGTTATCTTAGTACCAATTGTTGCTGTTGCATTCCTTAACGTATCACTTATTTGTTTGATGCGTAATCGTGTCGTAATACAGCGAAATCGTAGTACCAGTACTAACAGTGATTATAGGTTTAGTTTCTTATCATATCATATCTGTAAATAACGAAGGAATTGGATAAATAGGAAAAGGCAAAAGAGAGAGAAAGAGAAAAATTAGGATGAAATGCATATAAAGGAGAGTAAGGAGAGAAAAAAAAACTGCCTCCTGAGTTTTATTTCTACTTTGAAATTTTAAAATAAATTTAAACATGAATATCCGTCATTACAGTATGTTGCGAAATTGTAATGATACCGGAATAATGCAACGGCAGGAGAGGAAAGTAACTGTTACCGTACTAGCAATCGTAACCTGTTTTACTATAACCCATGTATGTTTTCGAACTCCTATCTCTTTCTTGTTCTACTTAATTTGAATTCAATAAATTTATTTTCTTAAATATAAATTACTCAGTCTACCGTTTTAACAGTTACTAAATTCAAAACAGCCTTGGGAAGTTGTTTTAGACCAATTTTGCCCAATTTCCAGGTAAACACAACATTCTTAACAAATGCATTTATCAAAAATTGTCTGGATTTCTAGGCTCCATCATTGATACCATTCGTTTGGGAAACATTTGGCATTTCTAAAGAGAATCCACGGCCTTTTTTAGTAGCAGTCAGCATCGCTAACTCATTGCTTATCACTGGAAAAGTCCTTAATTTTGTATTATTTTGCTCAAGTTCAGTGCATTTTCGTCGTCGTCTGATGCACATATTACTTTCCCATTTTGTTAGTTTTCATTTCACTGATTGGCATTTTTCTGCTTTCTCTTTCAACTATTTTGTATGCATTCCAAATACCTCTTCGAATTGATATGATAAGTGGTCGCTAGAAGTTAGAAAATATCTATTGAGAACTTTTGTAAACTTCTTTCAAAATTTAGATGAAACGATCGGAAAGCCGAAAATCGAGAAAAGCATCAACATTACAGTCCAAAAATTTCGCACCTGTACCTCAGATGCGAAAAGCGAGCACATCCCTCAGTCGACGCTCAATTCAATGGCAGGATTCGGTGAGAAGTAAATTTCTAGCTGAAGTAAACAACTGAAATATATCATTACTTGACAATCGTAAGAATCACAATGAAATTGCACAAGAAGTGTGAACTTGAAAACAAACCTTTTCTAATTTTCTCTTTTTTCCTATATGGCATTGTTATGTTTAATTGAATCGAATCGAATCGAATTAAATTCAACTTAATTACTTCAAATATTAGGATGTTTATCTGTTGACAGTATTATATCGTAGTCTGATCTCATTTATGTTTATATACAATTTACAGTAACATTCATTAGACATTATTGTATCACATCGGAAATAATATCATAACAAATGGATATTATTTAGTGGGGAACGAAAGAGAGAAGAATTTTACATCGTTGTCTTTTCCTCATGTCACTAATAAACATTCAGCTAATTTACACAGTATTGCGCTAAACTAGCCTCCAAATCAAGCTCAATAGAATCCGTCTGTTGTGAAATTTTAAAAGTCGTTGGAGGTGGCACATATGGTGCTTGTTTCGGTATATCAACAATAAAAAATTCGTGCTGCAGAGCTACTTCTGCTGAATAACGTTCCTCAGCTGAGTAAACGATGAGCTTCCGCAATAATGAAAGACATGTTTCGGAAGCTAATGGCACTGAAAGTTAATTCCATTTAAAATAAGATATCCGAGTTTTAAGCATAAAGTGAGACATTTCCAGAAAATATTAGGTGAGAAACGCTTATGAACAAATCTATGAGAAAATTAAAAATTGTGTTCGGAGTGCGCTATGAAGATCGTGTAATCTTAATTAACACTAATATGTTGGATAAATGTTTGCATCACTTTATCCAAACGGTTTATTCATTTTTAGCCTATTGATCTTAATTTATGAGAAATGAGAGTAAAGAAGAGATTACCTATTGATTTCCAGTTGTTCACTGGTTTATTATCCTCAAAAATAATTTTACTACAACCCGGCATAATATCCCAACCTTTCCAGTTTCTTTCACAAGGTGAGCCAAGCACCGATATCAATTTTCCGATTTGTTCGATATCATTTTTGCCCTGCAATGGATAATTACTTCACTAATACATTTTCCGATTATAAACTTCAAAATTCATGGGAATGAAGATGTTAGTATCCAACAACAGCACGAAATAATATTTCAAACGAAATAATATTTTCGAAACTATATAACAAAAGGATATTTCAAACGAAACAATATTTTCGAAACTATATAACGAAATAATATTTGTTCTTCTGATGATACTGATGATATTCTCCTGCTGATATTATGGTATTTATATGCGCCATGGTAAAGACTACAGTCGCAACAAGCAATTTCAAATCTAGGCAAGCGAACCCTATTGGAATTCAAGTTCAACACTTTAACATTGCTTCTTTATTCTGGATCTTCGTATGGAGGGTATATTAGCAATTCCATGTGCGATACCATTTTGTTAGAGTAATTAATTAAAATTAAACGGTACCGCGAAGAGTGGTGCACCATTATAAAATTCAGCAAATATACAGCCACAAGCCCATTCGTCAACTTTAGGATTATAAGCTGTCGAACCGAACAATAATTCTGGTGCCCGATACCATCTTGATGCTACCTAAAGCAGTAACCGAACTTAAGGTGCATTTAATACAGCACAGTGTTAAACTGCCGATTCGCCAGTGTCCAACCACTTTGAATTTCCTCAGAAATTAGCCGAATGAACAAAAAAAGATAGAGCGTAGTGGAACTTTGTTTATTATCCATACCTGGCAGTCGTAATTTCGGTTGGGATCATCCGACACATAAATACAACATTGTCCGAAATCCGTAATTTTTAGTAGTCCTGTCGATGTAATTAATACATTGTCCGGCTTTAAATCCTCCAAATATCACACATATTAATACAACCGCAACAAACACAGAGCATTACAATTAATTAGCTCATTTTTTTTTCTTCTTAAGAAATAATTTCACTTTAAAGCTAATAGCTTACCCGATGCATGATATTTAGGCTATGCAGATAATCCAGACCGATAAATAGTTGGTACATATAATACCGAGGGATTTCGTCATTTAATGGACGATTGAAATCCTGAATTGCTAATTTCAAACTGGATTCAACATACTCCATCACAAGGGAAACCGTATCCGTATTCAGCATCACATCGAATAATCGCACAACCTTAATTGAAAGTGATATCATTCAATACAGTTATCTTTTAAGCGGATAGCAATCCATGATGAAAATTTCAAAAAGAGTTATCAAGTTAAGAAATATGATATACGAAGATATAAACAATGCCTTCGTTTACTCAACAATAAAAACGCGCTTTTTTTAAAAAAAAAAAAGTTTCTGGTTGATCAAAAAACTGAATAGATATGGCGAGTTATTCATGGTGATGAATAACTATTAACATTTTTGTGGTATGCATTTCGAAGAGCGAACACTTCTCGAATTAGTGCAATTTCATTCCGACTATTTCGTTTCAGCGGTATTCGTTTAATAGCCACTTCTTCATGACTCTGTAAAAAATGCTTTAGCTGTGCTACTGGATTAACAATTTTGGATCCTATGGATTTTTTTGTTGGTGTTCCAATAACCTAGACCAGATTATCCTGTCCTAAAAATGAACTAGTGAGAACAGTGAAAATGAACCAATGAATGGACCTAAAAAATCTACATTTAACCATTCACATATGGAAGGGTTTCGAAGATCACTACATTTGTTGATAAACTATAAACGATTGCTAAAAATTATCAGTCTTAGAATTCAGATCAATCAATCTTAGTACTGCGCAGCAATCAATTTTGACGTATTCCTTGGCTAACAACTTGCTTGAAAATGAGTTGCTTTGAGAACGACACCGAATGCACCTCGTCCAACAACAGAAATGATATTATAAGAATTATCGTAACCCTCCGATGTGTACAGCCTCGATCTTGACACCATCCTCCGCCTCTGCAACAGCTCAATGTAACTTTGCACGAAAGTCATCATCTCATCACTATAACACCAGTTCGACTGATAAATATCCCTTGGTAAAAATAGCTTTCAAATTAAAGACCTTCCGAAATTTAGAATAACGTCTTCCTGAAAGAGTTACATATTTGTCTGATACATATTCGTCCGGATGAAACGCTGAAACAAGCACCTCATCCCCCCCCCAAATCCGTATATTACAACAGATTTTTCTGGTGGGGAAAACAATTCAGAACCCAAAAAATTTCTCACAGTAGCTAGCTCTGTACTTCATCCGAACAAAGTACCGCAAAATTAATCTCTAAACACGAAAAAAAGAAAAATGACAGCATAACGTGCACAAAAATTTGATTTCCATAGAACGCCCATTTCCTACTTCTTGCGGTAACCATGGGAACATCGAGTAACAACTACTGCCGGTTAAAAAAAAAATCAAATCAACTTAGCATGTGATACCTTCACCAGGTTCTTGTGACTGCACTGCAAATAGCAGTGTAGAACAGTAGAAATTAGAATGGTGATAATATGCTGGTGTATTAAATTCCCAACTACATGCATATGCAGTATTGGGTGATATATTATACTAGGTGATAGATATGAAGCAATTAGTACAATAATTGTTTCGCAAGATGCAGCTTTAATATTTCTGCATGTGCTATTTTTGCACTGGAACTTCGTTAAGTAAGCGAGATTTTATGCACCAAATGTAGACAATATCAAATTTGAACATAAAGAGTAAAAATATAAAACAATTATCTGGAAACGTCACATTAAACTTAAATTTGCATAAGAATAACATCAGGATTAGATATATCCAAAATTCTTGAATTTTGGAAATCGGTTATAAACCGAACAAAGAAATTTAGTAGATTTATAAAAATTGCTAGAAGAAATCAAAGATGAATGAAAGAGCAGCGAAATGGCGTGCCGACGACCGAACAACATATCGAAACTCTAAGAAACAATAGATTCTGTGCAGTTGTAAGAAGCAAAGAGAGAAGAAAACTGGCAAACAGTATAGGCACATATTGTGAACAGTTAAATGCATATTTCACTTACATGACTCAGTCTGAATTTAACAGTAAGAAGATAAACACCAGCAGCAGTGTCCATGCATAACATCTGACTTAAACACGAGAATTAATCATTTAAGTGACCTTTTCGTAGGATCAGACCAATCCTTGAGTTTGCTTCAAAAAGACTACGCACCATGTAAACCTGAAAATGTTTCCATTCAACAGTGTGACAAGTATCAGCAATTTCTCCCACCATTGAAAATATTCATAAATCCGATTTACCTGCACAAAGAGAGCAAACAGCATGACAAACAAGTGCAACACGCTCCAGAAATTTATCATTTCATAACTGCGTTCAATTGCAGTTCGATCAGCTAATTCTATACTTGCATATTGTCTTTGTAACCTTTCAATAGTATTCAAATTATTTTTAACATTGGCCGTCACATTCTGAAAATGGGAAAGTACTCTTGAACAATATTTTGTAAACATCAATACACAAAACCAATTAAGCCAAACTGGCTATCGACTTAGGTGATACAAAGGTACCTGAAAATGGTCAACACGTGTATCCAATGTACGCAAAACTTCTGTCCCAACGTTGATCTGTTGATCAAAATCTCCAAGAAAGTGACCCTGCGCATCCAGAAGAAATATTTCGAAAAAAAACCCGCTTATCTGATTGAATGCTGAATGTATTATCAAAACAAAACAAGTAATCACCATAACCGGCACCAGCCATACTCAAATCAATTCTGAAATATTAAAAAAAAAATTTAAAAAACTTGATAAGCACCTTTTTAATAATCACATTTCGCATATTGCAAATTTACTGATAGAAGCTCAGTAATTTTCCAGTTAATCACTTTTTTCCCACTCTCCGACAAGAAACAAAAGTTCTAAGGTTCTTCAGTCCCTTGAAGAGATGGAATTTGTGCAAAGGTGCTTGAAAATATACTAGGACAGCCTGTTTATCCAATTAAACTTTGACTAAGTGCTACTCCAACATCGGAAAAAAATAAAACTAAAAAATTTTAACAAAACAAAAAGCTATGACAAAATTAGGGATTTTCGACAAACTTGTGCGTTCCATCACCATGCTTCAAATCACTGATCAAACGTAATCCTTTCGGTGAGGTAATAGAGAATGTAATGTCGAGTTTGCCACCCTCAATGACCTGTAATATAGATCCAACATATGTGTATCTCTAATTAAAATTCATTTCCGTCCAGAAAATTAGTGAAAACATTACCTGGAAATCAACTTCAAATGATTGGTATTTTTCATTGGCAATCGTAAAACCGTAACACTCTGTTTTTCCCGCTGGCACAATTACTGTATAGTCATACTCATCTGCTACTACCAGAGAAAACAATAAAAGATATAAGAGATGACGTAGAACCATTGTTATAGCACATCGACCTCTCATCAAGCAGAAAACTATCTTAATTTTGATGAAATTCTCCGTCCATTATTTTCCAAGACTGCAAAAAATTTCTTCATATAAGTTATAGTAAAATGAAAAATGCAAAAACATGTCAGCTAGTGATGCAAGATAACAAACTGGGAACACACATACTCAATAAAGGGGAATGTTCGAAACACATCATAATACGCAAGCAAAATTACTCCTAGGTATTACTTACACCAATCAGAACCTTATCTATTGGCTTTTTGTAGATAGTTCCCAATATTCCCGTCACTTTAAGCTTCTTTGCAACTAGCGTTAAGTCACATTTATCTTGATCGCTTCTAACATCACATTTATTAACCCGATAAGTCATACACAAACCTCGAACCCACTCGCATTACATTCCCTACAATTTGCAATTCTGCCCTGAGTCAGCATTTGTTTAATAGCAAAAGAAATTTGTTTAATAGCAAAAGAAACCATTCGTGGGTAATGTAGAAATCGACAAACTGGCCGGCGGTTCACTTACTGCACTGCGATCCCCATTTCAAGCAATAAGTGGCAATATCTTTAAAGCTAAATATAAATCAAATAGATACTAAATGCCAATTTCATATATTTGCCAGTTGGCTTTAATATCTGAATTCTGTGGTCTTTTTAGATGCATACATTTCCTAAACACTGAATCTAATACCAACTCATTTATTCCGTTAGTGTCGCCTGAACTGGTAGGAAGTTTTTATGAACAAAAACCTATTTTACATATTTGTAGAAACACAAAGCAAGTACATCATCCGGCTACAATAAGCACAATGTTCAAGAGTTTGTGTACATAACATTTTATTTATATTAACTAAACCTAAAACACATTGTATTTTCAACTGCAAAGGATGAACTGCT